CGAACTAGACTGACGCTGTCGCCGCTCTATAGAAGTGACAACCAGCGTTTGATACATTATAATTCGACACATGACATGCACACCATTATATGTGAACAAAGACTCTGTGGTGAAGCTGGATGAATCCAGATTTAATAGCTCCATGTAAATTGAAGTCTTGAGGTAATCTGTGCCCAACAGAAAATGCAAGCATTTCAGTCCACACAGCACCACCCCATACAGTTTTACCATACAGTTACTAAAGCTGTAGAAATATGGCATTATGGTCATTATTAATAGTAATGTCACTATTGTTATAAGCTACTAATATTAAATATTGAGTAATATAAGGGCAAAACGTCGATTTTATAGAGATTTAGTTTCAAGTATTCAAGAAAATATCAACAATGTATTACTATTTGTTTCTGTCCTGTATTTATTAACAAATGATTTATTTATGGATATGCTGAATTTTAGCTCTCATATATATGATGTTAAAGAGCAGGTCATATGGGTTTTTGAAAAATAGCTCTTTTGCAGTTTATAACGTAGCTATCCTTAAATGAAAACCATCTGCAAAGTTGTTAATCAAAAAAGTGCATAATAAATAAAGATATTGTCTCTCAAAGAGAGAGTCGATTCTGAATTGCCTTAACGAGTCGTCATATTTTCGAATCTTTTGCCTGTTACCGGTATGTCACTGGGTAAGACATTTGCATAATCCCCGCCTGCCCACGAAATACGAGCAGAGTCTGACCTACCCACAAACACTTCCGCTAGTTAGTGTGTTTACATCATGTTGAGAAGACGCTGTGTTCAAGGATACCACGGAAATACAATTCAAACCTTTTGTTGTGTGCATGTCATTTTATCAAGGACTGCTTTTTACAAACTGTATTGTTTCATCAGTTAGCCACGTTAGCACTCGGCTAACATATTCACCATTATTGTGTTAAATGTTCACAGTTTAACAGCTAAACTTTAGCTGTGGGCACGATTCGCTTGCATAAGTGTTTTTGTATTTGATGTCATTATTTTAAGAACGGATTGGATCACTATATTATTGTTTTATGTAAAGGTTCTTTGTCAATGGTAGCGCTCACGAACTTGCTCAAGGACTCCTCTGTGCCAATCACAACAGGCTTGGCCAGCTGACCAATCAGAGCAGAGTAGGCTTATGGCTGAGAAAATTACAATGTTTTCTGACCTTAGATGCATTTAAACCTGTTGTAGGGGACTCCAACACAATATTAGGACTAGTGATTGACTGATATTGATTTTTTATAACCGATACCGATACCAATTATTTGCATGGTTATGTGCCCGATAACAAATATGCAGAACCGATATTTATTTACTGTTATAAAGTAAATAAATGACTGAGTGAAGTAAG